TTTAAAGGCTAGTGGAGGTTAATGTGGGCTTCCTCAAGTGTTATCTTCACTCCCAGGGAGTTTCTCACCGAGAATTGCGAGAGCCAAGACCTTGTTCTTGGTGCTTCTGAACACAAATGGGGACTCTCCACTTGTCCCACTGGCAAACAAGTGAGACAAAGAGAGCAGCAAAGCCGGGGCGGCGGGGAAAGGGAAAGACAGAGACATGCAGACACAGAGGCAGAGATGAGACTTGGAGAGAGGCACAGGGATGTGCAGCAAGGGGTGAAAGGGATAAAAAAGACTGCACCAAAGAGTGAGAGCAGGAGTGAGGGAGAAAGCGAGAGACAGAGGGATCAGGAGATAGACACACGGGAGACAGAAAGACAGCGAGAGCAAGAGACACAGGGACAGAGCGAGGGAGCGAGAAAGAAAAACAGTGACAGAGGAAGACAGGGAGCAAGAAACAGGAGTGAGGGAGAGATGGATGAAGGAGCAAGTGAGAGACAAAGATGATGACAGACACATGCAGGAGACAGGAAGTGACTGAGAGAAGACAAAGCAGATAGATACAGCGGGACACAAAAGACAAATGTAAAGACTTGACTGATTCCATCAGCTGGTTCATTCTCCATAGGGCTGCAGCAGCCAAGCTTGGCTCAGGTTGACACCAGGTGCTTCTGGTCTCCCGCGTGGATGCAGAGGCCGAATTACTTGGGCCATTTTCCTGATTTCTTTGGTAATAGACCATAAACAGGGAGCTAGTTCGGAAGTAGAGAAGCGAAAACTTGAAACGGCAACTAGGTGAGATTCTGGTATCCTAGGAGGAAGCTTAGCATTCCACACCACAGTGCTGGACACGTGTACAGTTCAGTAGTGTTGAACATTCACATTGTATAAGAGCTCCAGGACTTTTCAGCTTGCAAATCTAACTCTGCACCATAAAGAACCCTCCTCCTCTGCCGTAGTTGACAGGCATCATTCACTGGCCTTTGATTCTGCAAGTCTGACTACTTTGGAAATTTCATTAAGTGGAATCATTCAATGTTTCTAGTTTTGTTGACTGGCATGAGTCATCCTTGTAGTATGTGATAGGACTTTCTCCCTTTTTGAAGTGGAATAGCATTATCACCTATGTAGAGCACATTTTCTATATCCATTTACCTATTATGGGCATTTGACTGCATGCCCATTTACGAGCACTGCTATAGCATCAGTGTATAAGTAACTCATCGATGGGTTCCCATACTGTCTTCCATAGCAGTTGTACCATTTTATATTCCTCTTCACCAAAGTTTTGATTTCTTCACAACCTAACACTTTGATAAGTCATCCTTAAGTGTGATCTCTCCCTGATTTTGATTTGCGTCTCCTCAATTAGTGTCATCTTCCATTGTTAGCTGTATATACATCATCTTTGAATTCGTTGTCTTACATTTTAGATGTTAACACTATGATTTGCAATTTTCTAACATTCCATAATTTGTGGTTCTGTTTGCTTTGATGTAAAGAAACTTAAATTTTTGATGTGCTGTTCCTGATTTTGTGCTTCTCGTGTCACCACCCCCTCTACACCAAATGGTCAAATCCAATGTCTTTAAGGTTTTTCCTTACTTTAGGAAATTTACAGCTTTAGATTTTTCATTTAAATCTTTAAAGACTTAAAGGGTCCCAGCTTCATTCTTTGCCTCTGAATTTCCAGTTTTTCCAATACTATTTGAAGGGTACATCCTTTTCCCATTATGTTGTAGTATTCTTGTCAAAGATCATTTAACATTTACATATTTATCACAGTGAACTCTTACCCCATTCATTGTTTATTTATGGGAGGACTACAGTTTTGATTACTGCAGTTTCATAGTATACTGAACTCTGGTACATCAACCTTTTTAAGCTGTTTTAATTTAAAGGGCAGAGTTAACACAAGAGGAAGATGAAAGACCTCCATCTACTGGCTCACTCTAAATGGCTGCAACAACCCTGGGGTGAGTTGGACTAATGCAGGAGGTTCTAGGTCTTCCATATAGATTCAGGGGTCCAAGCACACTGGCTTGTGTGTCCTGCACAGTAGGTGCTTCCAGAAGAGGGACTAAAGGGGAATGAATGCAATGTAAAAGGAACAAGGCTCAATGTACAGTGGGGGATCAGGGAGCCATTCAAAGCAGTGACAGTCCTAACCTTGAAGAACCTACAGCCTTTACTGAGTAAGGCTTGTTTTTGTCACAAAGGCTTATCAGTAGTTTTAATGTAAACAAATTGTTTTGTATAGTGTCCTCCAGCATATCCCAGTTACTACATCCAGGTTTGACACAGAACACTTGTTGTTGGAATACACTTAATAGCTTTGCTTCACTTATTGGCAGAAAGCTCACCTCCAAACACTGCATTCTTGAAAGTTTCCCAGACAAATGGTTGCATCTACTGGTTTTCCGTCACATCAAGGGCTTGACTGTCCCTTCATGCAGGTGGTCCTCGGGAGTAGGCCATCCTCCATTACTTTCCCAGGTATATAAGGTAGAGAAGTGGATCCAGAAATAGATCAGAGCAGAGCACAGGCCAGGGCCTGTATTAGATGCCAGTAGTGCAGGGCACTGGCTTTACCCACCACAATGCTGGCCTCCCATCCTCTGTTTTTAAATCTAGGCCAATTCTCTTTACAACACAATTGGAATTTGCTTTAGAAGCCAACTTTGAAGATCTTTAATGAATTAAGCCCATCACTAATTACTGATAGGAATAATATTTGACTTCAACTGTCATATTGTTTACCATTCATTTTTTTTTAAGATTTATTTATTTATTGGAAAGTCAGATATACAGAGAGGAGGACAGACAGAGAGGAAGATCTTCCGTCTGATGATTCACTCCCCAAGTGAGCGCAACGGCCGATGCTATGCTGATCCGAGCCGGGATCCAGGAACTTCTTCCGGATATCCCATGTGGGTGCAGGGTCCCAAAGCTTTGTGCCGTCCTTGACTGCTTTCCCAGGCCACAAGCAAGGAGCTGGATGGGAAGTGGGGCTGCCGGGATTAGAACTGGCACCCATATGGGATCCTGGTGAGTTGAAGGTGAGGACTTTAGCCGCTAGGCTATCGTGCTGGGCCCGTTTACCATGCATTTCCTCCATTTCTGTATATTGTCTATACCAAAGGAAATTAGAGACTCCAAAGACTGATTCCAAAGACTGGCTCTTGCTAGTAGCTGACAATATTGCTATGTTTAGACTCCTTTTAAGGCAAGTTGAAGATTAACTCCTATGACAAATTAACTGTGTCCCCCAACCCTTTTTAAATATACTATTTCCTGTTAAGATCTTATTTGTGAGGAAATGAGAGCTCCCATCCACTGGCTCACTTCCTAAATTCCTGCATTAGGTGAAACTGGGTCAGCCAAAGCCAGAACCCAATCTAGGTCACCCATGTGGGTAGCAGGAACTCGAACCACTCAAGCCATCATTTGCTGCTTCCTATGGCCTGCATTAGCAGGAAGCTGGAATGCAGCATGGAGTCAGAGCTCAAACCCAGGCAGGAATCCCAACCGGTAGCCAAAGTGCTAGGCTGGAACCATCCGTTTTCATTTTAAAAACTGCAGTTTCTGCTTTGCCAAAACATGTAGACATGACATCTTTGTCTCCATTTGCTAGTCCTGGATCTATTATTACAATATAATTAGAACTTACCATCAGCCCTTTTGTTGTGGCCTCACTCATTGCTTAACTGGATAAAACATCCTTTCACTGCAAAATTCCCCAAGTTCTTGTTTTCAAAAGGCTTGAGTTTTGAAGCTCAGGTAAAGTTGGCTGGATATAAAATGCTTGCCTCACCCTTTTCGTATATCTCAAATACTGTTCATGCTTTATTTGCATGCAGTTGAGAACTCCAGTGGCAATTTGTGCTCTTGGCTTGGGTCTGGAAAATGTTCTTATTTAAATCTAATGACTTGACTAGGTCATGTTTTGGAGTTGGCCAATCTGGATCCAGTTTTACTCCAACATCTTATTTCTAGAAACCTGGAACTATAGACATTTTGTGCCTTTGCTGTATTTTCAGGGATTCTACTTTTCTGTACATCAATTACTTTCCTTCTGGTCTCCTCACTCATTTTCATGCTTTAAGCAATGCCATTTAAGCTTTTGGTTGGGATAACTTTTTTTGGCTCCTGTGGTACTTGTGTTCTCAGTGGACTAGAGAAGGCCAATGGTGTCAATGGATTCCATTAGTAGTGATATTAACTTTTTGGATGAAGTGACAGATTCCTTCACTACAAAGGCAACAATGTTTCCACTTATAACCAGTAAGTAGTTTGTAAAAAGTATGTTCCTCACAAACTTTTACTGGCTAGTTTCAGTATTAATTGACAACATGGTCTAAATAAAATTCCCAGGGCTCACTGTAGTATCCTGCTAGCTAAAGCCTCACCTTATATGCACTGGGATCCCACACAGGCACTGGTTCGTATCCTGGCTGCTCCACTTCCCTTCCAGCTCCCTGCTTGTGGCCTGGGAAAGCAGTAGAGGATGACACCCAAGGCCTTGGGACCCTGCACCCATGTGGGAGAAGCTCCTGGCTTCAGATTGGTTCAGCTGTGGCCATTGCGGCTGCTTGCAGCGAACCAGTGGATGGAGGATCTTTCTCTCTAATCTTTCCTATAACTTTAAAAATCCATCATTCTTTCTACATGTAATTGATACTCTAACAGAGCTTTCCCTTCATTAATTTACTTAACAAATTCTAAATCAATAGTATGTACAGTACATACCATTGGTTCTTGGAAGATACCTGAGGTTTAGAAACCAGGACCATGATATTGCAACTTGCTAATATTTCAGCAAAATAGCAAGTAATAAGAAATTAAGCAAGGGAAATGTTATTCATTTAACTGGACAGCATGTGGCAGATCATTATACTATTCCAACTTCTCTGCAGGTCAAGTTTTTCAGAATATAAAATAGAATAAAGCAGTTTTAATTTGAGCATTAAGCCTTCATAAATCTGAGAAAAAAGTCTAGAGATGTCATTTGAATAAATTCAAATTTTATTACCATTGTCTATAGCATCTGTCCTCTGAGAGGACAAACACAAACAGTACACGTAACAGCACAGCTTTTGGTAAGATTGCTTCTTGATGTGGTAAAGCAAGCTGGACAAACTGGCCAACTCAAGGTGATGGTTCCAGTTACAGAAGTGATCTTACCACCTAGTGAGCATTACATATTTTAAAATGTTCCACACACTTAGAAAAGCTCAGAGATTTTCCCTAAGACTATATAGGTTCACGATGTAAACCTGTACCTTACAGCACTCTGGGGTTTTAGCAAAGCATACACTGACACACTTGCCATACAGTGCAATTTTAGTAAGACAGGAATAGTGCACTTAAATCGAGTCCCATTCAAATATATCAAGAGTACAATTCAGATACCCGGCTATTGAAGAAATACAGATTTTTTTTCTTATAAACTAAGTTGTACAAGTACAATATTAGTGTAGATGGTAATAGTTCTAGAAGGATTCCAAACAATGGTGTAGGGGGTAATTGTGTGGAATAATTCGCCTCTCCAAAGACAATGTGCATTTTTAAAGTGAAGCCAATGTCTTGGCCCAACAGACACAGGCAATGCTGCCCAAGTCAATTTCACTAACAGTCACTCCTTAGACTTGCTGAGGGTTCAACAGAATGGCTTTAAAGAATCGGTAAGCTTGCCCCAGGACAATGTAGTGTCTGTAGTGCCCCCACGTTATATACCACAGAACAGTAGAAACTGCCGCTCGGCGTCTGACACTCAAGTGGGGACCTAGACAATAAATACAATATTTCTTTAAAAACTAAGTCCTAAAACCTCAGAGCATTTCTTCTGAGACTATTGAGTTAAAGAATCTGTACAGTAGATGGAAAGACTAAGTGAAGGCAGAAGTAGTTCTAGTGAAGAAAATAAGAATTACGCAAACTGATGTTGGAAGAAATCTAGCATTTTAGACCATCCACACACATAGATGGTAAAATCAGTCTCCATTAATATGGTGTGTAACAAAGATACTATTGGGCAAATAACACTAGCTCTGGAAGGGAAAAAAATTACGTGGCCCATGTTATAGAATAAAAAGCAACTATCCAATGTTGCCAGGAAGGATAGCATCAACCCATACGAAATGTACTTAAACTTCATAAGCTCAACCTATAGAACAGGGAACCCTAAATATTATCCATTGCTTATCAGAAAGGCATTTCCAAGACAAACAGTGCATGCAATAGCCCAGTAAAGGCTTGGCTAAATCTGGAAGTGGGCAAATAGCAAAACTTGTACCCCTGAAGGTCTGATTAGAAGTAAACTTGTGACCTCCTGACAATTCAGCTTCTCCTGAAATAGTCCCCAAAATGCTACTACTAAAAGCAGTGGTCAAATCCTTTCCATGATATCCTACTAATAGAATTTAGTAGGATTTAATCTAATTCAATCTTTTCCAAAAAAATGATCACCTAAATTGGACAAGTTTACAAAAAGTTTAGAGCTTTATTTTTACATTAACTTTTTCCAATTAACTTTAATTTTGCTTAGACTATATTTAAAACCTACTGAATCTTACTATTTCTGCTTATTTTCTTCCTGTTTAGTAAAAATTCGACCAAATTGCTGAAAACTCTTACTCTTAAGATTTAGTAACAAACAAGTTTATTGAAAAATCAGAAAAGTAAAGTATAAGGGTCTTTGTACTGCTGATAATTCTCTTTAATTTTAAACTGCTCTTGGTAAGAAATAACTTATGAAACATTCTCTCAACTGTAACTAGCCTTCACTACAAATGCACAGAAAGATGATTAAAATATATATTTGAGTTTCTCCCAAGGGCAACTGATTCCAGTAGCACTTGTGTTAATTCTGCCAAACTTTCAAAACCAAACCAACTTTACAGACTGTTTATAGCAAAATGGACATTCTCAAAGATAGCTGTAACCTAATGGAGGGCAACTTAGTACTAAATTAAATTATTTGAAATTGTTTGACAAAGTTATCACATTTGGAAAAATGCTAATATTTGATTGGTAACATTGGGCTTTCAGAAGTGTTAATAAAGTTTGCTTTTATAGTTTATAAATAGGGGTTATCCAAACTTCGCATCTAATTATAAAATATTAAATTGCAAACTTGTCAAACAGTAAGGTTGCTATGTCAATAGAATGAAAATAGAAAAAATTGGGTATCGTGAGCCTGAGTACAATTATAATCAGGAAACAGGTATAAATAAAGAGCATATATATAAGTTCTCCATGTCCAAACCTAACTCAATTAAAATTTCTACCCATGGAAGCCCAATGGCCAATCAATATAAGTACTGAAGTCAGTTTTAAAGAAATCACTTAACAACACAGTCTATATACATGTATGAATGAAGAAAAAGATTCCCTTTTTGTTGGTGGGGGGTGGGAGGGGGATAAAAGCACAAAACAAAGGCCAGCCTCATGAACAAACAGCAAGCAATTTCGACAAACCACAAACAAATGAGGTTATTTCTCCTTTTTAGATAATGAAGGTGTTTCACATAACACCAACTCTGAATGGAACACCTCTTACGTTCTTTCCCTTAGCCTTCTTATTGAACTCTAACGCCCTAAGATTCTTAACTATACCCCCAAATTATGAAGCTGAGCTTAGTAACGAGGACCAGGACCTCTGACTGTGGTTGAGCACTGCTACATGAAAGAGGAAGCTTGGGCAACTGCAGGTAGGAAATGTGGCCATAGATTTTACTAGAGTTGAATGAATTCTTAGTTCAATACAAAGCTTTAAAACAGGGCTCAGTGTAATATATTCCACCCAGAAATGTATACAGACATAGTGAAAATGGTATTAAGAGTATTATCACAACAGACACATGAAAAGCACGAACCAGAAACAGGATTGCAGGTGTAAACAACCAGAGCATGAAAAGAGCCTCCATGGCTTCTCTAACTGCAAATCTGGTTCTGAAGACTGAAACACAGAGCTGCACCACATTTGAAAATTTCCTCCACTGTTTGTGTTAAGGTATTTGCTTAAATATATAATGGACAAATCAGCAGAGTCAAGATCAACTTGCAGATAACTCAAGCCAACATTAAATGTTTAAAAATTTAACCTTAGTAAACCATTAAGTACTCAGACATACATATATAAACCAGTGCAATAAGAACTTCAAACAAGGGCAATGTGCCTCTGGTTTAAGGACATCATAGTTGCCAAAATATAACAACCTGATGCTAAATGACTTCATTTCACACCCAGCATTTGATATACATTTTGTATCTATGTTCAAAAACTTTCAAAAACTTTGAAAAACCAATTCAACAGTAACAGTCCTATCAGTAACAAATCCATGTTAATTCTATATTGCACAAGGTTTTAGTGTCTAACTTAACAGAGGATGATACCTGTTACCTTTGTAGAAATAACAAGTATTTAGATTTATTCCTGACAAACCAGAATAAGTCTATTTTAAAGAGAAAGGTTATGAAGCATAGATACTGGAAATGATCTGTTAAACACAATTCTGGGTTTAGTAGCCATTTCAATTCTGAAGAATACTTCCACACACTAAGAGTCCTTAAAAGCCTGAGCCACTTTAAGTCCCTAATGTGATTCACTGCTTCCTAGACTGGACTGGAGCACTATTTGGAAAGTGGACATAGAAAGCTTCAGGTGAAAGGGCGTATAACACAAATGGCCTTAAATTGGTCACCTATTTCACATAAAATGACTAGCACCTCCTTCCTGCTCCCAAAGTAAAGAGGCCTAATGGGCCACAAAAAATGAGTAATATTAAGCTTCATTCTTACAATGAGAAATCCGTGAAATCAAAGCAGTTCCACATCTAAAGCCTCAGGGTCAAGGCTGCTGCGTTCAGAGTAAACAAGGGCAGTAGGAGAGGCAGGCCGCAGGTCCAGGAAGGTCCTGAAGGCAGTGTCCGACCTCTCAGGGACTCTCCTGCAGTCCATCTTCTGTTTCCAGTTCTGCCAACTGCCTCCTGAGGATATTGACTTTTGCTTGTAGCTCTTTGTTATATTCGATAATGTTAACCATTTCTTCATATGCTTCATCCAAGTACTTAGAGGATCTATTCCAGCGTAGGAAAATACCTATTGAATCCAGAAAGGGAAAACAGAAGGAAGACAGTCACTAACATTGTGGATATAATATCTAATACCTTGTATTTGTATTCTCACATGTTTTATTACTTTAACTTTTATTATACTCCAAGTATAAGAATCAAGATACTGTTTTATATATAAAAGCCTGATCTTCAGTACATGTGCCCTGTTATTTGAAGAGGCTATCTTCTAATACTGTAGGTAATCCCTTCCTTCCCCACCTTTTTTTTATTATAAACAAATACAGCCATGCCTCAGTAGCCTGAGAATTGGTTCCAAAAAGCCATGTCCATCCCCACGATGAGGATGCCCAAATCTGATATAGTGGAAATGCCATGTAAACAGTTCATGAGTAGTGTAGCTATAGAATGACAAGAAAAATAGGTTGCACAGGTTGTTACCTTTTTAAAATTCCCTGTGCAATCAGTCCTATATAAGTGTCCTCATCCTCAAGTTTTACCAAATTGCAGATTAAAATTAAACAGCAATTTTTCCAGTAATTTGTTCAGAAATGAATTCAAAGGTTTTTTGGCACTCAAGTCAAAGTTTTACTCAAATTTCATGGAGATTATACAGAAAGATACATGAATTTCAATCTACTTGGGTACCAAGAACTTTAATCAGAAAAGTGCCCTCCTCCCCCATCTGCTGATTCACTCCTCCAAATGTCTGCAATAGACTGCAATATCAGTCTGGAGCCAAGACCTGGAAACTCAAGATAACCCATGTAGATGGCAGGGACCTAATCACTTAACCCATCACCTGCCACTTGCCAAGCTTACATGTTAATTTGTGGCTTAATGACAAAATCAAATGCTTGTCTGAAAGCTCTTCATTCCATTTTCCCAAGATTTTGGGGAAGCATCCTCAAATTTTCTTCTACCTGGACTGTGACTGTTAACTGTATCATCCTAAAATAATGCCTTAAAGATATTTAAGAACATAAAAACTTTCTAGGCCACAACATGTTAATAATTGGCAATTCTATAATGGCTTTATGATTCAATAAGTACTATTTTATAGGGGCCAGCATTGTGGTATAGTAGGTTAAGTCTCTACCTGCCAACACTGTCATTTATATGGGCAGTGGTTTGAGTCCTGGATGCTCTAATTCCAATCCAGCTCCCTGCTAGTGACCTGGGAAAAGTAGTAGAAGATAAGCCATGTGCTTCAGTTCCTGCTACCCATGTGGGAAACCTGCAGGAAGCTCTTGGCTCAGTGCTGGCCATTGCAACCATTAAGGAAGTGAATTAGTAGATGGAGGAACATTCTCTCACTTTCAGATAAGTAAGCCTTTAAAAGTTTATCAAATATTTTTAATACTATAAACTGTCACAGGCCCAGCAAGTCCTTCCATATAATATAATCAGTGCTATTAGAAGAAATAGAACCATAGCTTAAAGATGAACTGATGTGATTTTTCTATTCTACAAGCCTTCATTGTACAAATTAATATTTCCATTATAGCTAACTTAACAGCAGATACATGTTCAGGCCAGAGAACAATCTTTAACATGCTTATGAAACACATGCTATTGTAAGATTTTACCTATTGAGATTTCTCCCAAGTATAAAGCAAGGAGGCACTAACACACTCAAATTCTGTTCTTAATGGCATGCTAAGAATCCATCCACATAAGAAAATAAGGCCAGTACTACAGCATAGTAAGCTAAGTCACTGCCTTGTGATGCTGGCATTGGAGTATCAGTTCAAGTCCCGGCTGCTCCTTTTTTTTTTTTTAAAGATTTTAGTATTTTTTTTATTGGAAAGGCGGATATACAGAGAGGAAAGACAGAGAGGAAGATCTTCCGTCCGATGATTCACTCCCCAAGTGAGCACAACGGCCGATACTATGCCGATCCGATCCGAAGCCAGGAGACTCTTCTGGGTCTCCCACACGGGTGCAGGGTCCCAAAGCTTTGGGCTGTCCTCGACTGCTTTCCCAGGCCACAGGCAGGGAGCTGGAAGGGATGCGGGGCTGCCGGGATAGAACCGGCGCCCATATGGGATCCCGGGCGTGCAAGGCGAGGACCTTAACCACTGCGCCACCGCGCTGGGCCCTGCTCCATTTCTAATCCAGCTCCCTGCTTATGGCCTGCAAAGCAGGGGAGAATGATTCTGAGCCTTGAAACCCTACACCCACATGGGAGGCTCAGAAGCTCCTGATTCTGGATCAGCAGAGTCCCAGCTCTCGTAGCCATGTGGGGGTGAACCAGCACATTAAGATCTGTTTCCCCGCAGCATTAGCTGGCAGAGGCTGGCACTGGGAGTTAATTCTGTCAAGTCAAATGCCAGAACTACCTGGAGAGTGCATAATCTGGGAGTGGGTGTGGCCTAGACGGGAAATAGTGGGCACCTCCCTTGGGGTTACCACTCTCACTGCACAGCACGAAAACCAGGACAGGGGTAGGTATGGCTAGACAGAAAGGAACCTGCCAGTAGGTGTATGGACTGGATAGTAGGTTGATTGGGTTGAACTAGGCTTCAATGCCCATTGACATGTGCGGGAGCTAAATGGGATGTGGGACAAACTAGACAAGCCTGTGGTACGTACTGGCAAGCATGGGAACCAGAGTAGGAGGCAGAACTGGTGGGGGTTATGGGGAGTTGCCCCAACTAGGCTGCAGCTCCAACTGGTTTACATGAGGACCAAGTATGAAGTGGGTAGGATCAAGCTGGACTACAACACCCATTGGTTCATGTGGAAGACAGGGCTGGAAACAGAACTGACCCAGCAATTGCAACGACCAGCATGTGCATAAGCTGATTGGTGTGACGGACAGTGTTGGAGTCTGTACTAGCAAACTCACGCAAGAATCAGGTCTGGGATCATCTCAGATGAAGTTTCTTTGCTGATCCCTCCAACTGAACTGCTGATCTCAGAACCCCAACCATGAAGAGACTGTCAGCCAGTGGACTCAGTAGGTTTCATTGCGATTGGAACTGCGAGATTGGCAGCAATCCAGAACTGATGAGCTATCAAAACTGTTTGAGCAGGACCCTCGGAGCGCGCCTCCCGTTGGATCTGGGATGGGTGGGAGGTTGGGTGGGACTTTTCCCTTTGTTACTCCCCTAACCCCAGATACAGGGAAAAATGACATTAGTGTAGAAGCAATGGTATTATCCACTTTCACCCTGTAGCCTTTGACCCTCTGTACCCTAGTCAACTAAGTAAGATTATTAAAAAATTTTTAAAAAATCATCTGTCTCCTCTTCTGTTACCCTACCTTTCTTAATCTTTTTAAGAATGGGTTCTTTTGGGCCCGGCGGCGTGGTCTAGTGGCTAAAGTCCTCGCCTTGAATGCACTGGGATCCCATATGGGCACCGGTTCTAATCCCGGCAGCTCTACTTCCCATGCAGCTCCCTGCTTGTGGCCTGGGAAAGCAGTTGAGGATGGCCCAAGCCCTGGACCCTGCACCCATGTGGGATAACTGGAAAAGGTTCCTGGATCCTGGCATCGGGATCGGCATAGCATCAGCCACTGCGCTCACTTGGGGAGTGAATCATCGGACGGAAGATCTTCCTCTCTGTCTCTCCTCCTCTCTGTATATCCGCCTTTCCAATAAATAAATAAATCTTTTTTTAAAAAATGGGCTCTTTTTTAAATTCAAGGTTCCTTTATCACTTAATCCCTAAATCCTCCATGAGGTTTGAGTGGGCTGAAAATGATTGAACTAGTTCTTCCCATCTACCAAACTTGGCTTTTCTCCCACACAGCTAGCCTCTCATTTCACTTATTCAATGTTTTACAGTGACATTTAAGAAAGTTATCCAGAAGTCTGAAGTACAGCTGTTATCGCTTGAAGAAGCTCCTGATTCTCTACAACCATTCTGATATCAAAGTTAAGAACAGTCAGAAGTCCTTGCTGAAAGCAAAGCTGATACTCAGAACGTGGAGAATATCTGAGGCCATTTTCCCACACTTCTAACAAGTGGGAATGCCTCAACAGGTAAGATGAGAAGCATAAACTGCAGTGGAAGGAAGCAGCCAGTGAGAGAACAAAAGGAACAAGTGACAGCTGACATCTAGAGAAGGTACAGGAATAGATGTGATCTCACTTCCAGGAAACAAAGCAATCCAGGCCCCTTTTTTACAAAGGGCAGTTATCCACACCAGGAAGGCCATTGAGGGCATGACATATTAGAATATGGAGTAATAACTGACATTTATGGTAATTGAGTTTAATTTACCAAACAGCTATCATGCTCATGTTTTATGCTGCTTAATACAATCATGAATAAAGATGTGTTTACTGGCCTAAATGATTTAAAATTGAATAGCATATTATGATCTGTTTAATGAGCACAGTTAATACATTTTTAGATATTTCTGGAAAACAAGCTTTGCTATTCAAGGGCATATCCATGAACAGTGAGCTCATCTGCATTACTGCACTTACGATATGTCAATTCGAAGACCTACTGAGATAACCAGTCCCAAAGCCCTTGAGTAGTGTTTAACCTAAAATTTATCTAAATGACTATTGTGCTCAAAGTATTACTAAACATCGGGCCCGGCGGCGCAAGTGGTTAAAGGTCCTCGCCTTGCACGCCCGGGATCCCATATGGGCGCCGGTTCTAATCCCGGCAGCCCCGCTTCCCTTCCAGCTCCCTGCCTGTGGCCTGGGAAAGCAGTCGAGGACAGCCCAAAGCTTTGGGAACCTGCACCCACATGGGAGACCCGGAAGAGGCTCCTGGCTTCAGATCGGCATAGTATCGGCCCGTTGCGCTCACTTGGGGAGTGAATCATCGGACGGAAGATCTTCCTCTCTGTCTCTCCTCTCTGTATATCTGCCTTTCCAATGAAAAAATAATAAAAATAAATCTTTAAAAAAAAAAAGTATTACTAAACATCTATTTGAAAGGCAGACTTAGACAAAGGGAATAATAGATTTTCCATCTGCTGGTTCATTCCTCAAACGGCCTGGTCTGTTCAAAGCCAAAGCAAGAAGCCCTGAGCCGTTTCCATTGGTTTCCCACATGGGTGCAGAGCCCCAAGCACTTGGGCCATCTTACACTGCTTTCCCAGGAGCTTTAGCAGGGAGCTCGACTTGAAGTGGAACAGCCAGGTCTTGAATTTGCACCAATTTGGGATACCAGTTTTGCAGGCAGCAGCTTAACCAATCATGCCACAGCACCAGCCCTGCAATATGATTTCTTATCCAGGGAAAACATCCAGCACAAACACCACTATTAAATAATCACCAAGTTTCTCAGATGGACTGAAAAAGTGACTGGACAACCGATACGTATATGACAAAGGTATAACAGGCTGATTTTCCACCTATAAGCACCATGCATCTCGGGTACTGGTTTGTCTCGTGTTGTGTCCAGCTTCCTGTTTCTGGCCTGAGAAAGCAGCGGAGGATGACTCAAGATCTTGTGCCTCCAAACACATGTGGGAGACCCAGAAGAAGCTCCTGGCTTCAGGTTGGGTCAGCTCAGCTCTGGCCATTGTGAGCATCTGGGGAGTAACCCAGCAGATGGAAGATCTCTATTCTCCTTCCCTCCCTAAATTCTGCCTTTCAAATAAAAATAAATCTTAAAATATTGGGCTAGTAGCATGTTATTTAACTTCATGGCATTGTAAATTTCTATTTTTCTTCCTGTTTTTGTATTGTGGCTTTTCATTGAAGGGGATGTATAGTAACTAATGGAGACTATCATATCCAAATGTGAGGATACAATGTAGTATGCATCTCTACTTCCAGACCAAATATAGACTCCCACTGAAACTATTTACCATATCTATGCTATTTACTATGCTGGACATATCCCTGTGTATGAAGAACTATACTAATGATTATAGGGAAATTTGGTGAGGAGGGAGGAAATTGGGGAAGGGATAAGGGAAATCCCAGGGCCTATGGAATTGTATCATAAAATGATAGTAAAAAGTAAAAATATATATATATATTGGGAACACAGTTACATATGGATCTGACTCACAGTCCTTGGGAATTAACAGCAGCAGCTTGCACTGACAGGGAAAAGCAAGACCATCCCAACTGCGAATGAAAAGCTTGCAGTGGATAACTGGCTTACCTTCCCACAGCTGAAGACTCTGTGGAGCCACGGAAGGCCAGATGACGAGGGCATTGGCTTCATAGAGAGGGTTGGTGAATTTACTCAGCTCACTGGGACGGTTGACCCAGGACCACAGGGACATCGTTTTCTGCTGGAGCTTCAACTTACACCTGATTACAAAGGGAAATTGACATACAAGCAGTTTGTTTATAGCAACGACTATTAAATATCCCTCTTAATGATGAGTACTTTCCATATGATGTAAGATAGAAACCTAAAGACATGGAACTATGAGGAAAATTACAAAACCTTGAAAAAAAACTTTGAAAAATGAGACACACCATGTTCCTGCATCATCAAAATGTCCAAATTCCAGACTTTAACACATTAATGGCCAGTAGTAACCAAAAGTCTGGTACTGGTACAGAAACAGAGGAAGATCAATGGACCAGAACAAACACCAGAAGAGAGCTTACACTTGTACAGCCAACTAATCAACAAGAAAACAGAAAACCGCAGGAAAAATGTTCTCTTCAACAAATGTTGTTGGGACAACTGGCTAGCAGCCTGCAGAAGAAATAAAACCCTTACCTTTCACCATACACAAAGAGCAAATCTCAATGGAATAAGGATCTAAATCTACACTCAGAAGCCATCAAATGATTAGAAGAAAACATAGGAAGCATTCTACAAGATAGACACAAGCAAAGACTTCCTAGAAAAGTCATTAAAAGCACAGTCAGAGCCAATATAAATAAATGAGACTAAACTAAAGCTTCTGCACAGTCAATAAAGACAATCAACAGAGTGGGAGAAAATCTTTGCACACTACACAAATAGGGGGCTAATATCCAGGTTATATATATACACACATACATACATATATACACAAAGAACTGGAGAAAGAGTAACAAAACCAGTTAAGAAATGGACAAAGGGGATGTGAGGGCGATCTGGCTGAGACATCTGTCACTCCATTGATCGCGAGGGTTGATTTGGCTGATCAGGCTGGCTAGGCAGGTGTCCCCTTCCTCCCTCACCGCTCCATGTGCGTCCCTTCTGAAGCTGCACACTCGGTTGAAGAGGACAACCATCCCCACTAGAGGAGGACCGGTCTTTGGTGAAGGATATACGAGTGGCTGCGCTCCCCTGCTAGAACCTCCAAACAAGCTCTCAATAAATGGACAAAGGAAATGAGCATTTTTCAAAGGAACAAATTCAAATGGCTAATAGACATGAAAAAATGCTCAAACTCACTAGCAATAAGGGAAATACAAATAAAAACCACACTGAAGTTCCACTTAACCCCAGTGAGAATAGCCTACATACAGGAAACTACTAACACCTGCTGGCAAGGACGTGAGAGCAAAAAGGAACCTTACTCCACTGCTGGTGGGACTGTAGGTTAGTGCAACCACTATGAAAGTTGGTATGGAGAATACTTAGGCAACTGAAAATTCACCTACCATAAGACCCAGCAGCAATCCCACTTCTGAGAATATATCCAAAAGAACTGATACACACATACACAAGAAATGCAACCTTCATCCCTATATTCACTGCAGTACAATCAACAATCCAAAAACATGGAAACCTAGATATCCACCGGAGGACTGGATAAAGAAACTGGTACACCTACTCTATGGAATACTACTCAGCCAGGAAAACAAAATAGTACTATTTGCAACCAACTGTTCCCAACTGGAGATCATTTTGCTCAATGAAATGAGCCAATCCTAAAAGAACAAATATCATGTTCACTTTAAGACAACCTCCATCCAAAATACAAATAAAAAAGGTATATAAGTACACACTTATAATCTCACAAAAGATGTGATGAAGACCAGAGCACCAAGAATTAAAGATCAACACACTGCATCTCGACTCCTGAATAAAAGGCCCCCAATTAAATATCTGAATATACCTATATATATAATACACAATATATAATATACAATACTATATATTATATATACACTATATATAATATACAATACTAGACTTTCTGCCATTGCTTCTACATACAATGTCATGACCAATGCAAAGAGCAGAATGCTGGAGTCAAGACTACAGCTGAAGGACTACATTGCTGTAAAACACAATGAACAATGGGGAGGAGGGGAGAAGAGGGAGGGAGGAGGGAAGGGAGGAAGCCCTAAACCTGCAAAATTGTAAAAAAAAAAAATAACAAAAATTCAGGAAATTCAGCAAAAGCAGTGCTTAGAGAAAAAAATTTAAATATCTACATGAAAAAGATTTAAAAATGACAACCCAAACTTACATGTTAAACAACTAGAAAAATAAGAGCAAACTAAAGCAACACCAGCAGAAGGAGAAAAGATTAGTGCACAGTCAGAATGGAACAGAAAATAAGATCAAGCTAAAAGACAAGTTCTTTAGAAAAGAAAGTGACAATTCTTAAGTACCAGCTTTCACCACTTTTCAAGCTCTGGAATGAAAAAGCATGGAAATTGAAAATGGAAAAGCAAAACTAGATGGAGAAAATTGATCTTCTACGTAAAATCCTCAGATACACGTGCACAAAACAAACTATTCAATCAAACCCAGTGGGATGACTGGATCACAAGAGCAAACACATGATGATGTGGAGAAACTGGAACCATATAGAATGTGGGTGAGTGGGAGCAGGCGGGTGAGACGTGTCTGTGCTTCTGCTTCACAGATCCTCAAAATGCACAAGTTACCACACAACCCAGCAATTCCACTTCCAGGTGAACCCTAACACAAGTGAAGTGGTGTCCATTCAAAAACTTAGTTTAAACTTACCATGGCATTACTGATAGTCAAGTCCACAATCCAAATGTTCACTAATCACTGGATATGATTACACAACACTATATTTGATAATATAAGGAATGAAGTACACAGTATTCCACAACATGGATGAACCATGGAAACATCATTTTAATTGAAAAAAAAAAAGGCAGTTATAAAAGACTACATTTTGGAGCCAGCCTGGTGGTTTACAGGCTAATCCTCTAGCAGCCTGCACCAGCACCCCATATGGTTACCACTTCGTGGCCCAATTTCTCCACTTCCAATCAAGCTTGCTTTTCACGGCCTGGGAAAGCAGTGAATGATGGCTCAAATCCTTGGGCCCTGCATCCAAATGGGAAACACAGAAGAAGCTCCTGGCTTTCGAGCATCAGCTCAGCTCTGGCCATTGTGGTCTTTTGGTAAGTGAACCAGTGGATGGAAGACCTCTCTCCCCTTCTCTCTCTAAAGATGGCTTCCAAAATAATTTCTAAGACCACATATTGTTTAATTCCATTGATAAGCAATATCAAAATCAGCAAATCTGTAGATACAGATTAGTACTAGTCAGGAAAAAGGGAGGGGGAAGAGGGAGAATGGGGAGTGATGGTGACAAATATGGGGTTTGTCTTGAGGGTGACTGGGTGTGGTAATGGTTGCACAAGTCTGAATATGCTTACATATATGTGATTATTTCAAAAGTTTTTAAATCTCGCTCTTTTCTCTCTATTCAGCTCACCCTCTTAAAAATATTTGGAAGTCAGAACAACAAAAGTAGTGATCTTTCAACACGGTTTCTTTCCCTCAAATGCCAGCTCAGTCCAAAACCAGGAACCTAGAACTCCATCACAGTCTCACACAGGTGGCAGGAACCAAAGTACTTGGAGCCATCATCTGCTGCCTCCCAGGATACACATTTGCAGGAAGCAGAATGGGAGATGGAGGTGCATTTCAAACTCCTCTCAAACGCAGGCAATCCAATATGGGATGGAGACATCTCAAGCATAAGTTCACCCCTTTCTTATCTTAAGAAATTTCAGTGTTTCCTAAGGTTGTTTTTTTGGTTTTTCTGTTTTTACAGAGCCAGTACTATTCCAATCTCTCAGATTCATAAGGTTCAAGTCATCTGTGTTCATAGGAACCCTAAAACGTCTTGTACTTGGGTATATAAATATATAAAATAATATATAAAATAATAATGGTATGACCATTGCTTTCAATTAGCTTATCTGTTCTGATGAAACTTATGACTAGAAAAATTCTTTTAGAGATAAACAATGCTAATGTCACCTGCTCTCAGAAAACAGAAAAAATGAACTTATGTTCAGGTGAATTTACCATGTTGTCACAAAATAATTTCTAAAGAAACTAAAATGCTTATGGTACATTCACTGTGAGTCAACTTCAATTCTACTTTTTTTAAGCAGGCCTGTTCCTTTGGCATAAGTAGTACACAATTATAATCATTACAAAAAACAAGACCAAAATATCAAATGTAAATTTTCCCCATCTGCATGTTTTAAAGAGGTTTGAGTTCATAATGTCAATTTAAGATATTTCAACTGAAATATGCCTAGAAACAAATTTTTTTTTGTCAAACTAATACAAATAACATGCCGATGTGGCAGCTTTGGCAACAGTACAGACAGGGAACTATGACAACAGCATTTTCCACAGCATTCAGGTCCAATTGTTTTTCTACAACTGAAGACAAAATCTGACACATTAATGATGAAAAATTTGTCAATTCTGCTACAAATAAACACATTGTACTAAGATTTACTACTCAACTACATGTTCTCTGTCACCCAAAGGAAGCCTGTTAAAGCATGGATTTGCAGTCAGGCACTTTTATGGATCATTCTGATGGTATCTCATAAATACACCTTTCAACTGGATGGCATCTGAGATGTGCAGTGATGAGGGTTCCTATAATCTCAGGCTATCAGCAGGAGTAGGAAGAACTGTGCTCCAGGTCATATCCTAAAGACTGACACGTTACTTATCTGGATTATGCTTTCTTGATTTGACAACACTGGATGTACAAAGGCTTTGTCTGCATGTAAGATCCCACATCAGAAATTAACATAAAATGATTGTCTTATTCAAAGATTTTTAGGTCAGTATGTGAGCTAATTGTAACAGACTAAATTCCAAGATATATTTTCAACTAGCAAGCGATGGGATCAGACTATCCTTCATGTAATTTAGGTTATACGGAAGTGTAGCCTTTATCTTACATAAATGGCATTCATATAGAAATGAATCCTGGCCTCTTTTAGGAGATGATGAAAATACCTAAAAGCAAAATATCTTCATGTGAGCAGTATACCCACCTTTCACTTTCATTGTTGCCCAGGAATGTTCCAAATTGTGAGGCATAGGCATGCTCAAAAAGCATGATAAGGAAATTCTCATTGAACTCAAAAGAACAAGGAAACTGACGAAGTATCTGCCAAACACAGTCCAAAAAGAGAAGAAATACAGGCGCTTCCCACTTCTGTTTACTATTACAATAGGCTGACTGTGCACAGCGCTGCTGGAATGGGTGACCAGCCTAAGAAAAACATGGAAATATGACAGTCACATCTGAATGAAATCACATTCTAGTACATCTATTAAGCATCTCACCCAGTTACAATGAAATTCATAATAATTCAATAGTTCCTGTGTAGACTGATTTGGTTTAAAATGAAAATCTCAGCAAGTGAGGAAAAAAACAGTTTCTTCACAAAGTTATGTATTTAGGACATGATCATAGGAACTACAATTTGTCACTGGAATATTAAAGAATGATGAATTTAATGACACATCTATGAAATAAACCTAAGTCTGTAAATTTTGGAGCAGAGATCATAACCTCTCAGGTACAAAGGCATCACCTATCTAAAATAATGCAGTTTATGTTACAAGGTACTTAAGCTCCCTGGAGATAAATATGGGACCTCTGATGGTCAGCTCTGATACTAAATCTTAATTACATATGAGAAAAGTTATCATCTTGGAGATTTTTATACTGTACCTTTTAACTAAAGATAACACTGTCCTCAGTTACCTTCTTCTAACCAAGAGTAAATGTAACTATTATTTGACCCTCATACCCAAAACACAACCTTGTCACCTTTCTCTCCACCAGCTATCTCACATGCCTGCTTTTGTCATTGGGCCCTTATACTACGGAAACTGACAAAGATTATGCCATGAAAATTTTCCACTTTAATGATCTGTGAAACCTATTAAAATGATGTTATAAATATGGAAAACATGCTCATTTGTTTAGCTACATTCTTCATGGTACATAGCAAGTAAACAATATTGTAGCAAATACAGAAGGTAAGTTTAGAATAGTCTGACATAGTTGTCAGACACAGTAGACAGGGTGTATATAACAATATTAACACAGAATATATGTGCATTATAACTAAGAGCCAGAAGTTCTTTTTCACCAGAGATGTAGCCACTTTTGATATATATCTAAGTTGGAAAGTGAAAATATACTTATAAATTGATCTGATGAGGAGAACTTCAATCTATAAGATTAGTAGTCATCCAATATTATATGAAGTATTGTGTTCTTTCCTAGGGATAACAGATGATTAGAGAATAGTTCTAAGACCTCAAGTCAGTTTTGGAAGATCTAACTTAGACATGAAAAAAAAAAAAACAGCATTTTTATCTGTGAATAAGGTTACAGTCTCAAAAACTTGATGCAAGCAAGGATGTTTAGTTGGTTCTTAAATGCTCACCAGGTTAGAGAAGGATGCTGCAAAACGAACAAAGGGCCAAGAGTGCAAAATACCTTCTTCATAATCACAGTTCCCACTTTCATTCCTTGTTTGACTTTCACCTCCACAAAGATTAAGCTTAGGAGACCACACTATGTCTCACAATGTATTTCCACTGTTTGTAGCAAAATATAGGTTGGGTACTCCTAATCCAGATGTGTTCCACTTTGGAAAGTTTGCACATATGTAATGAGATGTTTTGGGAGGTATGGACCCCAGCATGAATATGAAATTCATTTTTATCTCATATTTGATTCACATAGCCTAAAGGTAAATTATATATTTCCAGTGTGTCTGCATTTTGACTGAATGTCACATAAGGTCAAGTTTCAATGCTCAACAAGTTTCAGATTTGAAGCACTTCACAATTTCAGGTTAGAGATGTTCAACCTACCCAGCTAACAAAAGTTTAAGTAAATGAAGTACAGGGTCCAGCACAATAACCTAGTGGTAAATCCTTGCCTTGCATGTGTTGGGATCTCAAATGGGACTGGTTCATGTTCTAGTTCTCCACTTTCTTTCCTGCTCCCTGCTGTGGCCTGGGAGAGTAGCAGAGGATGGCCTGAAGCCTTGGAACCCTGCTCCCATGTCAGACCCAGAAGAAGCTTCTGGCTCCTAGCTCTGGATTGGATCTGGCTGTTGTGAGCACTTGTGGAGTAAACCAGCTGATGGAAGATATGTCTCTCCTCTCTGTAAATCTGACTTTCCAATAAACATAAACAAATCTTTTTAAAATGTAAATGAAGCTCCTAGGTAAGGAATGTAAGCAAAGGGAAATCCAGAAATTTAGAGGTAATAAAGATGATAAACACTTATTGAGGAAAAGATAGGAATTACAGAAAACAGTACACAAAACTAAAAATCTGAGTTAACCAAAATTTCTCCCATGAGGTCATCTACCACAAACCAGGATCACAAGAATTTTCAGCAGTCAGTTCAAACAGCTTTCTTCACCTGTAGCCATTCTCTTTCTATTAGAGCCTCAAAACCTCGGATGGTCCTGCTTCTTGGTTCCAAGATGATCTGGGCCAAGGAGGTCACCTGAAGTGTGGAATCTGTGCCTTCAGTTCCATGAATCAACACTGATGCTCCTTCCCTGATAGAAAAGCCCAAAGAATAAATGGTCAGTGAACTCTGATTATAATATCTTAGTCTTGATGCATTCTATTCTGTCGAATAAGGGTTAGAGTCTATATAAGAAATGTAATTGATAAAAGTTTCTCTTGAAAAAAAAAACCCTATAATAAGCCCCATATTTCACATGGCAAGAACCCAATTAGGTTATGACAAATTTCATGAAACAATTTAACTGATTTTTCTCTCCCTTTTTAAAACAGTCCTCATTGCAGAAGGCACTTACACTCGCAGCCTCGGTAGTTTGTTAAAGCCTTTCTCATCAAACCCTAAACACGTATGCTCAGTTGTTTCCGACCTTGTGCCAGCTAACAACGTGACGACAGTCCTCACACCTACCCACTGTTTCAGTGGGAAGCTCTTCTTAAAAGGACATTTGAGTTTTCTGCAACAATTTGTACTAATTCTTTTGTCTCTGCTCAAGTCTTCTGACTCATGTTTCAAGAATTAGCAGCTCGGGCCCGGCGCGGTGGCGCAAGTGGTTAAGTCCTCGCCTTGCAACCCCGGGATCCCATATGGGCGCCGGTTCTAATCCCGGCAGCCCCGCTTCCCTTCCGGCTCCCTGCTTGTGGCCTGGGAAAGCAGTGGAGGACGGCCCAAAGCTTTGGGAACCTGCACCCGTGCGGGAGACCCGGAAGAGGCTCCTGGCTTCGGACCGGCATAGTATCGGCCCGTTGCGCTCACTTGGGGAGTGAATCATCGGACGGAAGATCTTCCTCTCTCTCTCTCCTCTCTCTGTACATCCGCCTTTCCAATGAAAAAATAATAAAAATAAATCTTTAAAAAAAAAAAAAAAAAAAAAAAAAAAGAATTAGCAGCTCTTTAACCAAATGCATAAACCAAAATTACTTCATAATCCAACACTACTATTGGGACTTTTCAACTTGAGATCCAAATATAACAGCACATGACAAGTGATTTATAGTAAGTCCAAGCAGATACTGAAATATCACGTTAATGTGTAACAAAACATGTTTCCTTTCATTGTTATTTCAGAAGTAAGGTCAGTCTGGCCTCCAAAAAGAAAACTTCCTTTCATTCTTTTTCAGTTTAAGAAAATTGGTGAACTCACAACTTATGGATTCTATATTAAAATAAACCCATTGTAACTTAAAAATTTTGTCATGGAAGATGTGTGTATATATACACACAGTTCATTCAATGAGCATTGATTATCTATTAAATGCCATGTCTATGCATATTCTTCACCAATAATTGAATGATGATCATTTCATGTAGTAATGCATAAAATGATCTGAACCTGAGATATAGAACAGGCATAAAATTTAAAAATCTATAAACATGTCTGAACAGACAAAGTCCAGTTAACAGTGTATGTCTCTTTCTAGAAGAGTGACAGATACTTTACCTGTCAATACACTGGGCTGCCAGGCAGGCCGTTGTCAAAATTTCCTTGATGTGAGTCAGCCAGTTGGAGGCCTCCAGCTTACTGAGCCAGCGGTCCATGTTATGTGTTTGGTCATTACAAGCTTCCACAAGTTTGATTAAACTCTCTTGAAGGACATGATACCTTTTAAAAATAAAAAAATGAAAGCAAGAAAACAATGAAGAAAGAAATCAGACAACAAAAATCAGTTTCCAGGGCCTGGCACAGTAGCCTAGTGGCTAAAGTGCTTCCCTTGCATGCATCAGGATCCCACATGGAATCAGATTTAAGCTATAAGTCTGTTCTCCTTGCTGGCTGCCCATGCAAATACAGCTTTTTTCATCTCCAAAGTAGAGTATCACAGGTTGGTCACTGTGCCACTGGCAGTGACCAATCTCATTCAGTAACGGGGTCAAAGAATACGTTTCAGTCAAGCAGGAGTAAATTCTAGAAACTTACAGTTGTGATGACTGTAGTTAATGACGACATATTGTGCACCTGAAAATCCCTCAGTTTACATCTTAAATGGTTTAATCTCCGGAAGTATGTAAGGTGATGCACATGTTAATTAGCTGATATAATCATTCAACATGTGTACCTATATTAAAACTATTTTACCCCATGTATACAATTTTTGTCCATTAAATCTTAATAAGATTGACCCCATCCTAAAGAAAACTCACACATAAAGATTTTTAGCTAAACTGATCCTAAATTAACATGTAGGCTTCATTTAAGCACTTACATTTTTTGAATAGCTAGTGTCACCCATTTCTAATAAGCTTCTAATCAGGACTCTGCCCATCTCTAGATGATTACCTCTCAATGGACTTATGAATCCTCCTCCACTGGGGATAATGAGCTTCTTGTTCAAATCCACCTCCTTTGGCTCTAGCTTGCTGCGCCACGTTCAGAGATCGTGTGTCAATGATGTAGCCGCGTTTCCCTGCCCTGAGCGTAGCATTTATTAACTTCTCATCTTCCTTGCACCTTTTCCCGTTTGTACCACTTAGTGGCTGACCACTTCGTATAATTACCTAGAAGCATAAGAAAGCTGAAAATTCAATGCCTAGTTAAAATACAAATGAATGAGCTAGATTAAAAATATCTCAAAAATGACTGTGCAGCCCCTTGGAGATGGATTTGAAGCAAAAACAAAGAAATATTTGCACATATTAAACAATTTTTCTTCCTACTATCTCACAATACTTTCACATAATGAATTCTGTCACCTAAGACCAAATATTGTCATTCACTTAGTTCATGAGTTGAATTTTTAGTAAACCTATACCTATAATGACGACAACATTGGCCAGTGAGCCAATAAAACCTGACCTTGTGGGAAAGTAAGCTATCCTATCCTAAACATATCTCTTTGGAGTATTTCAGGTTGGTTATTCAGAGCAGCTGCTCACTTCTGCAAGTACAGGCTCTGAAAAGTTGTCCTGTGAAATAAAATTTACTACCATCTACATTAGCAAATAGCAGATGCAACACAGGCTTTTCTGGTATCCACCTCTTTCTGGGTAGGAGGGACCTAACAGAGTATGGCCCAAGGGGAGATCAGCACTGGTGGTCATTATGGGGCATCCTCTGCAGAACAAGACGAACTCAGGATCTTTCATAGCCTGCTGCTCCTCCCTTCCCCAAGGACAGCCTCCATTCCAGCTAACCTCTACATAAGGTCTCCTACTCCCTGGATGTTCTTTTTCCCTCTACATGTAAGCTTATTCAATATGCTAAATTATCAACCCTTCAGAGGGAAAAGTACATTTATGACTTTCCTGTAAGTTCAACTAAATATGCACAAGGATAACAATTATAAAAAGTACTAATAGCAAAACCTAAAAGTTCATACACTATTTTTATTCAGAAAGTTATTTGAAGTATCTCAAAAGCTGCTTATCTTCTGCAGCCCTCTGCCATACTTTTTAGTACTTTCAGGACTATTTGTGTCCAAATACTCTTAACTTTTTTCAGTAAATCGGTGTTATTGTACTAGTTTTATCCCCAGTGAATACTATAGGTATAAACAGGCTGCTGCAGTCCTAGACCGCTAGTTCAGGGTCAGGAGCTTGAAAACCACACCGCCCCCCTTTCTGCCCACCTGCAACGCCTCCCTTCATCACCTAGACCCTGAGAGGCGGTGGTTTTGTGTTGTTGCATAACCACTCCCCTCACAACCCCCCATAAAAGGCCCATGATAGGAAGGGGCTCGCTCTCTTGTTCCTGTGCTTCCATCGCTCTTGCACTCCAACCCTTGGCCTCTGCATTCCCCACTTGCTTTCTGGCTTCCCATGGACAGACTCCAAGGACAGGTAGTCCCTGAACGTGGCCCCTGTATGTCTGTATTCCTCATTCTCTGTTCACTGCTTGGGTGAGTCAGTGAAGATGTAAATGCTAAGATGCTTTGTATTTCTAATTTGCATACTTTCCAGAGTTCCAGGAGAGGTGAAGCCTAGCAGTAACAGAATGTGGACAGAGAAAAGGTGAATGTCTGCAGCTTGGTGTGTCCAGGTTGTTCACTGCATGTCTCTTAGGATAACTTATATTGTTGGGGAAGCTGGGACATAGGTCTTCAGTTTAATGGATGGGTTTCATGGTAATGGCCATTTATTCCTCCCAGGATTTCGATTCAGACTGTATGGCCACTGAACTTGTCATTTGCTAATTTCTAGTAGGCACAGTTATCACCAAGCTACATCCTAGACTTCTCTGGTTTGATGTACCCCACAACAAAGCCATCACTATTTGCTGTGAAATAAGCTACCCTGAAATTTAACATGACCAAGGAAGGTCCTCTAGAAGATGGCAATGGTTAGTTTTTGGCAGGTTTACCTTCAGACAGTCACAGCACTTGGCCTTAGTATTGGCTGGTGCAATGCTTTTTACTCAATCCTCTGAAGAGCACTGCTGCTGAGCATGCAGGACAGGTGGCCTGGTGTTCAAGCAGTATGGTTTTTAAAACTCTATCCTAAACACCAACTTCTGTTACATTAGGAGGAAACAGGAGTAGTTTATTGACTGAGAAAAAATTAACTATTTTAGAAACACATAGAGAAGGCCCATGCCTACTCGATTCCTGACTCTTGCACTTATTTATGTTATGACCTAATGACATCAGACTTCCCTTTAAGAAAAACATTTCAAGAATTAAAGGATGTTTATAATTTTTCTGATAAATTTTAAATAAGAATAAAGCTACAAGCAAACAAACACTGGGTTCTTTTGTCCTGCATTTAGAAGCTAAAATTATATGAGCTTTTCTAAGCCCGAGCAGCATCAGAGAAAGAATTCAAAGGCATGTTTTCATCGCACAACACACTCTGTTCCTGACTCCTGATAGTTAACAGCAAAGTCCTGGTAACGAGAGACCTGGCTAATCATTACAATGAACAGGGATACAGACAAGAGAAAACATTCCAAGGATTTCCCAAACCCACCTTCTAAGCAAGCAATAGTTCTGTATTCTTACCATTCCATTTTTTTTATGATAATAGCTTAGTACTGGGAAGCGACCACCATGTCGAAACACAGCCACCTTTCGAAGAGCTTCATCATCAATGGCCTTGGGCACTATGACAATTGGTGGGTAGGAGGGACAAACAGCAAATTCCTTATTGACATAGCTTAGCCTCCATTCACTGGTCTGGAAAAAAAAAAAAAACACAGCCACTTCAAAGCTGAGTAATGATCTTAATATCACAAAATCAACTGAAACATTTTTAAAGGACTTTGGGATTAACTTTCACTGATACAAGAGACCATTGCTCAAAAATTTGACAGAATACTTAAGACATGAGGGAACTTCAGAAAGCTCACAAGGAAATAGAATTGAAAAATTAAGATATTTCTCAACTTACAAGTTATCAAATTTAATATACATTTTAAAAGTTTTTCATTTTTCTTTGAAAGTTAGAGGAGACAGAGACCTCCCATTCTAGTTTATTCCCCAAATGTCCACAATGGCTGGTGTTACTCTAGGCCAAAACCAGGGGCTGACTGAGGCGAGCAATGAGCAATAGCAATATGTGCAATGAAGGATTCTCTATGGAAGCTTCCCTAGGCATTTGGCCTGTGGCTAACTTTCTCAAGGCACTCCCCTTCCAACAAGATGCAATCATTCTGTGACCCTCCTGAAACTAACAAGCAAAATAACTTGAGCATCCCCAAAGAGTTGTTGTTGTCACCTTTGCTCCTGACAGTGTCACCTGAACTTTGACTGGATTGCTTCTACCTTTTAGTGGCCACAGCTTTGTCTTCAGAATCATACTGTTAATGTCAGGTTTCAGCTGTTCCAAGAAACTCTGGGACCTTGATCCCACTTGTCAAATTTCCACTAAAGTTCCGTTCTTGCTTTCACTTAATCTGTGCACACCCATCGACTGAGCTCAAAGCTTTAATTTTTTCAGCCTGAATTGTGTAATCTAAACCAACTGAGATATCCAGGAGGTGGACTACTGGTTCTAATGTTATCATTGGTTCTCTTTAATCAGAGCAAGAACAAAATAATTTGTTTCCTTACAAATTATGCGTGGCCTGCCACTATGGGCTCCTTTTTGATACTATCCCCCATCAACTTAAAAAAGAGTTACCCATCTGTAAACTTCTGGTTACTTCACGGCATTGTCCCCACAAAGCATCAGTGATCTCACCATTCTTCCACCCAGGCTTCACCCTAACTGCAATGCTTGTTCCTGCTCCAGTGTAAGTGAGATTCACAGTGCTTAATAGTGGCTCTTTTCATACTGATGTTTTCTATTTTAGTACCTTAAACTAGATCATGTTGAGTCATGTTACAAGGTAGAAGTCTATTCTGAAGCAAAAAAAAAAAAATTAAGTCAAAATGCATGGTTATTTCTTTCATGAGCTTTTTGAAGATCCTTCACACTTATAGTAAAAAAAAAAAGTTCAATCTTTTAGGGCCAACTTCCTGCATTCCTACATATCACTAGTTCTTAAAAAGTTCTTCCCCATATGGGTAAAGCCTGTTCTGTAATTTCTATTGTTTTTACCAAGATTTCAGATAACAGGGTACAAATTCCCTATTACATATGGCATTCTATCAAATACTTGAAAGACAATTGTTTCCCTTTAGTCCTTCTCCATGTTAAACATATTAAGTCTATTTAAGTTTATCACAGCTTTCTGTATTTAAAAAATGAAAGGGAACCAGCTCTGTGTCACAGCTGGTTAAGCTGCTACTTGCAACACTGGACTCTCACACTGAAGCACCAGCTGAGCCTTGGCTACTCTGCTTCTGATCCAGCTCCTTGCTAACACCTGGGAAAGCAGCAGAACAATGACCCCAAGTACTTGGTCCCCTGCTACCCATGTGGGAGACCGAGGTGGAGTTCCAGGTTCCTGGCTTCAGCCTGGACCAGCCCCATCCATTATGGTGTGAGCAGACAGATGCAGGTTATGTTGCACATGTCCTTCTTCCTTTCTCTATACACCTCTGCTTCCCTCCCCTTCCCTTGTCATCCTATCAATTTTTTTTTAAATAAAAGGAAACAATACAAGATGTGTAACATCTTTCCTAAAACATTAGCAATTCACTGCTTAAAGAAAGGTTACAATCAAGAATTACTAATCTTCAACAATTACTCTAAGGAGTAGAAACATGCAAAATAATATTGTCAAGTAACAACTTCTTTCAAATATCAGAACTGAAAACTGCTTAAAATTGTAAAAGTCACATCACAAAAGCAAATATCAGTAGGTTTCTATGAATCTAAGGTAGTCTGAGACACCAAACACAGGTTACAGTATTATAGTATTAAGAGGATGAATTTGATTACATTACATGTACTATAAAACAAGAACATTACTTTTTTTTAAAATGCTTATATAAGATTAAATATTGGAGGATGGCACCGTGGCATATTAGGTTAAGCCTCTGCTTTCAGTGTCAGCATCCCACATGGGCACTGGTTTAATTTCTGGCTGTTCTACTTCTGATCCAGCTCCCTGCTAATGTGCCTGGTAAAGCACCCAAGGATGGCCCAAGTTCTTGGGCCCCTGCACCCACATGGGAGATCTGAAGAAAGCTCCCGACTCCTGGCTTCAAACCAACCCAGACAAGGAGAAAGATCTTCCATCTACTGGTTCACTACCCAAAAGGTCACAACAGCCAGGGCTAGGCCAGGCCCAAGCCAGGAGCTTCTTCTAGATCTCCCACATAGGTCAGGGACCCAAGAATTTGGGAATCTCCTGAATCTTTCTACAGATTCCATGGTCTGACTGTGGAGTGCAAAAATTTCAGAGCTGGCCTCCTCAGTTGCTCAGACAGAGCAGTGGACAGCATATCCAAATGTACATGGAGGATATGGCAGTACATTGGAGTCTCCAGAGGACACCTGGTACCATGGCAGAGGACAGAGCAAATCAATCAACTATCCCAGCCAAACATTAGCAGTGAAGATCTGGGCAGACAGGGACTCTAAGGTGGACTATAGCAGCCAGTGGATTCAGGAGAGATTTCATCATAACTGGAGTGGCGGGATTGCCAGCAATCCAGGACTGTTGAACTACCAAAACCTCTTGAGAAATCCTTGGCATTGTAAATTTCTATTTTTCTTCCTGTTGTTGATTTTGTATTTTGGCTTTTCATTTAAGGGAAATGTGACTGTGTAACGGAGACTATCATGTCCAGATGTGAGGATGCAGTGCAGTGTGAATCTCTACTCCCAGATCAAAGATGGACTACCAATGAAACTACTAGCTGTACCCTGACAATAGGATACTGGACTCTCTGCCATTGTCCATGCCTGCAATGATGAACACATGACTCTTTACGAAGAGCTATGCTATAGTAATAATAAAGGGTAATTAGGAGCAGGGCAAGGGAGAAGGGCTTGGGGAGGGGGTCACGGGAAAATTCCAGGGCCTATGGAACTGTATCATCAAATGATAATTTAAAAAGGAGTTAAGGGCCCGGCGAAGTGGCGCAAGTGGTTAAGGTCCTAGCCTTGCATGCCCAGGATCCCATATGGGCACCGGTTCTACCCCGGCAGCCCCGCTTCCTTTCCAGCTCCCTGCCTGTGGCCCGGGAAAGTAGTCAAGGACGGCCCAAGGCTTTGGGACCCTGCACCCACGTGGGAGACCCGGAAGAGTCTCCTGGCTTCAGACCGGCCAGCTGTGGCCATGGTGGCCTTTTGGAGTGTGAAGCTCTCTGGTTTTCCCTCCTTCTTTTTCCCTTCCTCCCTCCCTCTCCTTTTTCAGTAACTCTGCCTTTTAAATAAAAATAAATCTTTTTAAAACTTGTTCCAAATATACACTTTTAAAGTACTCAATTCATAATACATTACGACTATCTTTATTAGATCCCTTTTACCAATGTCACTTTAAGATTTTTAAAATTATTTTGAATACAGTGGAAGGAAAGTCACATGAGCTACAGTACTGAGAATAAATTGTACAAATCTCTAAATGACAGAGGCCGCAGCACTAATTACTAAAACATATCAGGATGTTTTCCAAAAGCTTGTGAAAACTGTATTATAAAAAAAAAAAAAAACTATTCATGGATTTTAAATTTGGTAGATCAGGGCCTGGCGTGATAGCCTAGTGGCTAGAGTTCTCACCTTGCATGTGCCAGCATCCTACATGAGCGCTGGTTTATGTCCCGGCTGCACCTGCACTGCAGACCTAGAAGAACTCCTAGTTCCTGACTCCTAGCTTTGGATGGGCTCATCACTGGCCATTACAGCTGCTTGGGAAGTGAATCAGTGGACAAAAGATCTTTGTCCCTCTTCTCTGTAAATCTGACTTTCCAGTTAAAATTTTTAAATCTTTAAAAAATTTTTTTCACGCCAAAACAAATTCGTCTCTTAATTGCATTTTATATAAGAAACCTTCTGAAGTACACCGGTACTTACTACAAATATATGAAAGTCAACTTCACTTTATTACTCTTCAAAGGGCAGTGATCATTTTCTCATGAGAAATAACCCAACACCTCATTTTACTTTAGATATATTTCTCAAAAGTTAACTCACAGCTGAGGAGTAGAGTTCAAACTCTTGCTCAGGAAGGAAAGAATGCCAGCCATCTTCCACCACTTCAAACATGGGCCGGTAGAAGAAAGGGTACATCAGGGTGATGGAGTCCAGGGTAGACAGCGCCTACGAGCAGAAAGCAAGCAAGCAAGTGGAATCGACTGCAACCGGCAACACATGGCACTGACTCAGCACAGCAGCTTTCCGATTTCACTACTCCCATTTAATAACCACAACCACACAAAATCCGAGTTACAGATCTTTAAGATACTGCCTCCTCTAGATAGCTACACCAAAAACATGTGTTTAGACACAAAATCCAGATTGTGTGAGGCAAGGACAGAAAAAAAAAATTCTCTATAACTACACAGAAAATACTGTAAACATAAGGTTAATTTAGTTATAATTTAAAATGAGGCAATTTAAAATTTAAATGTGTACTGAAACAGATGGTTAAAATGGGTAAGAAAATGGAAGGTTAAGCTCTTCAGATTTTAAATAATTCAAGCAAAATTTATACAAGTTGTAATGTGGACCAGTATCTAATGCTGCTTATGTGAATAGAAGCTAGCACTTTCTATCTGAAGCAAACTGACAAAAACAAAAGGCTATAACCATTCATAATTACTTGCTTCAGAAAATAGATCACTTTTGAAAAATCTTATACTCTTATTTATATACCCCCAGAACAGAAAACTATTCAGTCTTACAAAGCAAATTCTGTCACAATTCACAATATAAGGGAGGTAAGTCCATCACAACAAGATAAATACTGCATAATCCGACCTAAATGAGGAATCTAGAGTGGTCAAATTGGGACAGAGTGAATGAGAATTGTGGCTATCAGGAATTAAGGACATGGAAAAGAGGAATTGTTGCTAAGTGAGTATAGAATTTCATTTATGGGGTTGGCGCTGTAGTGCAGAAGGGTAAACACTGCCTGTGATGCCAGCATCCATATGAGCATCTCTGCTCCTCTACTGCTGATCCAGTTTCCCTGTTAATGCAACTCAGGAGGCAGCAAACAGTGGTCCAGTTGTTTGGGCTCTTGGCACCCACATGGAATACCAGGACCAAGTTCCTGGCTCATGGCTTCAGCCTGGCCCATTCCTGGCTGTTGCAGCCATTTGGGGACCCAGTGCATGGTAAAATCTCTTTGCATTTTCTCTTCTCTCTCTACCTTTCAAATAAGTAAATCCTGAAACTTTTTTTCATCTGTAGGATGAAGATGTTCTAGAAAGCTGTTTACAATGTATAAGTGTAGTAATGCTTAAAATGGTTACGATGGAGACAGGCATTTTACCTAGTACTTAAGATGCCTATGTTTCAAGTCACATACCCCAGGTCTGATTCCCAGCTCCAGACCCATTTCTTACAAAAGTAGACCCTGAGAGGCCGTTGTGATGGCTCAAGGACCTGGGTCCTACCACCCACGAGAGAACTCCACTGAGGTCTCAGTTCCCAGCTTGCATCAGCCATTGCAAACATTTCAGGAATGTACCAGCAACTGGACCTTTCCATCTCTGTATCTCAAAGAAAAGCACAAAAATTCTAAACTTTTTCCTTTTTTTAAACCAAAATTTAAAAATAAAAATCTTAGTTATGAAAGGAGGCCCTAAAATGGTAAATTGTTGCCAAATATTGTGTCTAAGATAGTAACATTCTTACAATACCCTAAGAAGTAGATAAGAGTATCTTCATTTAAACAAAAAAACATTTATTGGACCCAACAGGATGGATCAGTGGCTAAATCCTCACCTTGCAAGTGCTGGAATCCTATACGGTTGCAGGTTCATATCCTGGCTGCTCCACTTCCCATCCAGCACCCACGTGGGATCCTACACCCACGTGGGAGACCCGGAAAGAAACTCCTGGCACTGGATCAGCTCAGCTCCGGTCATTGTGGCCATTTAAGGAATAAATCAGTGAACAGAAGATCTTTTTGTATCTTCTCTACAGAGTTCTGATCAGCCTTTCCAATAAAAAATCTTTCAAAAAAGTTTTTTATTTGAAAGGAAAAGTTAGAGAGGGGTAGATACATGGACACGGAAAGATCCTCCATCCATTGGCTCATGCTCCAAATGGCCACAATGGCTGGAGCTGGAATAGGCTGAAACTAGGAGTCTCCCAAGTGGGGCTCGCAAGTGGGTGACGGGGTACAGGGACTTGGGGCATCTTGTGCAGCTGTCCCACATGCATTAGCAAGGGGCTAGACTGCAGTGGAGCAACCAGGTTACATATCACCATCCATATGGGATACCAGCACCACAGGCTGCTGTTTAACCTACTACACCAGCCCAATATTTGCTTTATTTTTATAAAAAGCAAACTGTCAAGCCTGGTGACAGAGGGTCACAAGGTACCAAGTGGTAAAAATCAAGAATCAAACTGTGCTGAATCATGTTTACTGTTTCAAGTTTCTAGAGTCCACCTATTATGAAAGATAAACTAGTATATTTCAGAAAAAACAATCCTGTTTTAGGATATTAATCTGGTAAAGAAGTAAACACTATACCTGATTAACTCACTCGAACTCCTCAGAGGGAAGGGGGGAAAGGTGAAGGTCACAGGGGCCTCCAGCTACCCCTAACACCTGACCACAGTAACCTGACCAACAGTAACTCTAGCTGGATTTGTTTTGTTGTTTCAAAATTCAACGTTAAGATTTCAATTGAGCAAATTCATTGGAGCAGAAAATAAAGCTCACAAACTCTTTGGTACAAAGAAAGTTTCAAGATTTGTATACTGAACATGAAAGGTCAAGGAAAAGTAAAATTTCTCCTGAGAGAAGTACACTGTGGCAAGGCGATTAAAATTAAACTACTGATTGGGAGGGCCACATCTCATGTCAGATTATTGGGTTTAAGAGCCAGGATCACTTCTGGGTTTATTTGAAAGGCAGAGTAACAGAGGAAGAGAAAGAAAGACATCTACTGGTTCATCCCTTAAAGGGCTGCAATGGCCAGGGCTGAGCCAGACCAAAGCCAAGTGCTTCATTCAGGTCTCCCACGTGTGTGCAGGGGCCTAAGCACTTGAACAATTCTTTGCTTCCTTCCCAGCTGCATTAGCAGACAACTGGATTGGAAGCAGAGAAGCCTGGACTTAAACAAGCGCCCATATGGAATACCAGCGCTGCAAAAGGTGGCTTTAACTGCTATGCCATAGTACAGAGAATAGCTTCTGATCCAGCTTCATGCTTATGTGTACCCTGAAGTTAGCAAGTGATGGCTTAAGAACATGAGTCCCTGTCACCCACCGGGAAAACCCAAATGGAGTTCCAAACTTCTGGCTCTAGGGTGGCCAAACCCCAGGCCAAAATGCTGTTGTGAGCATGTGAGGAATGCACTAGCAGATGGAAGATCTCTCCCCATCTGCCCTTCAAATAAAATTTAAATATGTTAATACAATGAAATTTCTCCTAAGAATATCTTTACTCAATTATCCAATAGATTCTCTAAGTTTTCATGCATACCGAAGTGAAATAGCATTATTTAATCAACATGGACTCATGAAAATTCCGAAAAGCAACTAAAATGAAGTTATAGCAACTCATGGGATTGATGTTACCAATAAATTCTCAGTACACTCATTTAACAACAAATCACGATGAGTCTGCAGGACCCAAATCAGAGAACAAGGCCAAATGTCTAATGAAGAAACGTAGCAGCTATACTGAAATAGATTTTTTTAAATCAGATTTCACTTTAAAATTTCTTACCTCAATGGAACTAGCTATGTTCAAGCATTCCTCCATTCCAGGAATATCCAGCTGAATAATTCGGAAATCTTTGCATTTTATGATGACGGTACCCAGAGATCCCACAAATCTGTAAAATAAGTAATTACAAATCATGCTTAGGAATGCATACATTTCTGATGTTTAAATCTACTGTCTCTGATGAGAAGATCATTGGGATCATCATATAGCTTAAATTTTCTTCTTCCTAATTAGCACAGTAAGAAAGAGTCAAGCCTGCATTACTAAACTGTGAGCCATAAGATAGTTTAAAGCATATTTTTTAAAGTTTCAAACACATAAGATAAATCACATTAGGCTAATTCATTTAGTGGAGATTTATCAGAGTAAGTTCAACATCTAATCATAAAATTTTCATGATCAACTTTTCGTACAAATTTGAATTTTACCTCAGTTGGGATATTTATGTTCTTTCATCTACACTTTGATAGAATTCTGAGTTTTCCTTTGCCTTGTCACTTATTGCCCTGATTATTTTCCACTAAAACTTCTGAGCATTGTATTATTGATCAAAGCAAATAATTTATATTCTATCCAATTTAAAAACAACTCTTCCAAGTTCCACCTCAATTGTAAGCACTCCACTGTGTCACATAACTATGCTGTTTATCTTGACAAACATTATCAACATGGGTTTTAACCTATCAAAGAAAATTCCACAAGATGTCCCAAAATAGATGAACACAATAGAATGCCTCTTACTAAAATATATTTTCAAAAATCAAACTCTTGGTATTTCTATTGTCAGTGACAGTGGGATGACAGGGACTTGACTGATCCCTCCACATGAAATAAAACCAGAGAAAAGTATATGGAATGATTCTTTTCAAGCCACTCATCACCAAGCAATAAAGAACAGTGATCCCACAGAAACAGGGAACAAGGTAAGTCCTGTGACCGCTCCAACTAATGAGCATTCTGAATATCCATGTTACACTAGACGGAGACGGAACCCAAGTGGAGGTGACCATCTGAAAGGAGACCAGAAGGGCTAGCGTTCACACATTGAGAGAGAACTCCAGAGATCTACCAATGGTGCACCTTAAGTCCTGAGCAAAACACTCTGCCTGGTATATAATGACAGAAAACCACTTCAGGCTCGAATTGTGGTTTGAATGTGTCCCTCATAGTTCATGTGCTAGAAACTTACTGCCTCCATGCAGTAGCCTAGTGGCTTAGGTCCTCCCTCACCTTGCATGCACTGGGATCCCATATGAGCTTCGGTTCATGTGCCAGCAGCTCCACTTCCCATTCAGCTCCCTGCTTGTGGCCTGGGAAAGCAGTTGAGGACAGCCCAAAGCTTGGGGATCCTGCACCCGTGTAGGAGACCTGGAGGATGTTCCTGGCTCCTGGCTTTGGATCGGCACAGCACCAGCTATTGTGGTCACTTGGGGAGTGAATCATCGGACGGAAGATCTTCCTATCTCTCCTCCTCTCTGTATATATGACTTTGCAATAAAAATAAATAAATCTTTAAAAAAAATTTATCTTGACAATAGGATGCTGGGCTTTGTAATTGCCCATGCCCGCAATGATAGACTTATGACTGATTAAAAACTACTATTGTAATAATATAGGGGAACCCAGTGAAGGTGAGAAAATTCTGGGAGGCGGTAAGGGGAATCCCAGGGTCTATGGAACTGTAACATAAAAATAATAATAATGGTGGAAAAAGAGACAAAAAAGGCACAAGAAATGAAAGACTGGTTTAACAACTGAAATCAATAAACCCACCACACTGAAAAACTAAAAGCATACATTTTCTCAAGAGATGTAAAAAAGACATTAGACAAAAACTAACGTCCATTTGCCATTATAAAACTAAAAACCTCTTAACAAACTAAGAATATATGAGTATTTCCTCAATCTGATCGAAAAAAACCATTTACCAAGACGCTGGCACAGCAGGTGAAGGTGCTGTCTACTTCTGATCCATCCCCCTGCTAACGTCCCTGGGAGAGCAGTAATGTATGCCACCCACACAGAAGAACCTGTTAAAGCTCCTGGTGTTTGGTTTCCATGCAGCCCAGCTCACCTCCACCCAACTTTGGGACATTTGAGAAAAAGTAATGAAAGGTATCTACTCAACTCTGTCTTCCACTTTGTAGCTCTCTCAAGTATATAAGCCAAAAAAATTACCAAAAACAACAGTCTCTTAAGCTAACAATACATTTTTTATTACTTTTTTTTAAAGATTTATTTTATTTTTATTGGAAAGGCGGATATACAGAGAGGAGAGACAGAGAGGAAGATCTTCCGTCTGATGATTCACTCCCCAAGTGAGCGCAACGGCCGATACTATGCCGATCTGAAGCCAGGAGCCTCTTCCGGGTCTCCCACTCGGGTGCAGGGTCCCAAAGCTTTGGGCTGTCCTCTACTGCTTTCCCGGGCCACAGGCAGGGAGCTGGATCAGAAGCAGAGCGGCCAGAACTAGAACCGGCGCCCATATGGAATCCCAGGCGTGCAAGGCGAGGACCTTAACCACTGCGCCACCACGCCGTGCCCTCTTTATTACTATTATTTTATGATACGGGATTTTGTTTTTACTCAGGTATGATGAAGTCGACAAATCAGAAGACAACAGCCATAAAGAATAGAGTTTTTAGAGGCTGTTGTGGTGGCCCAGTTGGCTAATCCTCCTCCTACAGTGCCAGCATCCAACATGGGCACCCATTCCTGTCCTGGTTGCTGCACTTAGAATACAGCTTCCTGCAATAGGCCTGGGAAATCAAGGAATGGCTCAACTTCTTGGGACTCTGCATGCATGTGGGAGATCTGAAAGAACCCTCAGCTTCGGACCAGTCCAGCTCTAGTCACAGTGGCTATTTAGGGAGTGAACTACCAGGAGTAAAATCTCCCTTTCCACTGTAATTTTGACTTTCAAGTAAAATAACTGAATCTCATAGGAAAAAAGAAAACCGCTTGTTACAGTTTCCAAGAGCAAGCAGATGTGGTGCCAGGCCATGGCAGGTCAGAGACATGCACCGGAGTGGGTCAGAAGACAGCAGGGAGGCTAAAGCACTGCCCAGAGCTTTTTTTTTATCACGGCTTTCATAGGGAAAAAGACAGGCTGAACACATTTAGGTCTGGATAGTTTAATTTTAGAGGCTCTGGGAGGTAGAAGTGATCCCTTATTTCCTGGTATCTGACTCCCCGTGGCTTTAGGCAGGAAGAGTGGCCTCAACTGCAACAGCTTGATCTAACTTGATGAGAGGTATGGACTTGAGTCTGGTTTGCACATCTAAGGCATGCTTGCAGGCAAGGTAAATTTACTATCTATTGAAAGTAAACAACTCCAGCAAAGACTGTCTCTTCCCAGGTCTGCAAACTTGGGATATGAAAGCATCCCAAACTAGAGAAAACAAAAACTATGATTAGGGCCTGGTGCAATGGCCTAGTGGCCTAAGTCCTCACCTTGCACACACTGGAATCCCATATGGTTGCCTCAGTATCTCAGCTGCTCCACTTCCCATCCAGCTCCCTACCCGTGGCTTGGGAAAACAGTCAAGGATGGCCCAAAGCCTTGGGACCCTGCACAAGTGTGGGAGACCTGGAGGAAACTCCTGGTTCTTGGCTTCACTTGGCTCAGCTCCAGCCATTTTGGCTACTTGGGGAGGGAACCAGCAGATAGAGGATCTTTCTCTGTTTATCTCTGTAAATCTGCCTTTTTAATAATTAATAAATAGCCAAAATAATTTTTAAAAACAAAGATAGTTAACACGCCTAATGTCAGGACTTAATATAAAGCTAGAGCAATTAAGACAGCGAAATAATGGCATAAACATATGAATTTAAAAAAACAGAAAAAAGTTCTTATCACATATTGACAAAAGTGGAAAAATAATTCACTGAAGAGCAGTCTTTTCCAACAAATGGAACTGAAAGAATTTGAGTATCTGCTTTTAAAAAAGAAAAGAATTTAGGACCTGCACAGTGGCACAGCAAGCTAATTATCCACCTGTAGTGCTGGTATCCCATATGGGCACCAGTTCGATTGCAGGCTGTTTGTCTTCTGATCGAGCTGCCTGCTAATGGCCTGGGAAAGCAGCAGAGGAGGATTCAAGGCCTTGGGTTCCTACACCCACATGTGAGATCTGGAAGAAGCTCTTGAACGACTTCAGACAAACCAACTTTGGCAGTTGTGCCCATTTAGAAATTCAACTAGAGGATGAAAAATCTATCTTTCCCCCTTTCTCCGTTCAAGTAAAATCATTTTTATAAAGCGAATCAATCATATCGAATAATTCAGAATAAAATCTTACTCTTAAATGAATCTTCTACAGTTGTAAAAATGCTAGAAGAAAATATCTGTGGTCTCATGTGAGGAAACCATTTTTTTTTAAAGATTTATTTTTATTGAAAGTCAGATCTACAGAGGAGAGACAGAGAGGAAGATCCTTCGTCTCATGATTCACTCCCCAAATAGCCACAACAGCCAGAGCTAAGCCAATCCAAAGCCAGGAGCCTCTTCCAGGTCTCCCACATGGGTGCAGCGTCCCTAGGCTTTGGGCTGTGCTCTACTGCTTTCCCAGTAGTGGACAGCCCAAAGTCTTGGGAACCTATGGCAGATCAGAATAAGCTTCTGGCTTTTGGCTTCAGATCAGCTCAGCTCTGCCTGTTGGGCCATTTGGGACTGACCCAGCAGATGGAAGATTTTTCTGTCCTCTCTGTTAATGCGCCTTTCCAATTAAAAAACATATAAACCTTAAAAAAAAAAAAAAAAAAAGGAGGGTGTGAGGGAGAGACCAGATTGGATGAGGTAGATAACTCTTTAGCAACGACTAACTAATGAAGATGTCTTTTGGTCATGTGTTCCCCTTCACCCAAGGTCACCTAAGGCCATTCTTAGCTTAACCTTCCAAACATCCACATTGTCTCCCATTACCACCATTCTGAGTACCAAACACCTGAGCCTTTGCAGGATAAACCATAGCTGAACTGTACTAGCAGAAAATGGAATTCACTTTATGAAAGGAGCTGGTAGGGCAGAAACAGATGAGGAAATTTATAAGATAACCATGTGTGTCTGCATCTTTTACATTTACATATAAATCAATCACAAAGCATGCA